CTGTACAATTGACCAGCATGATTGCAGGGGAAATGACTGTGAATTCTTGATGCCACTGAGATCACAGAGGAACTACTCAGTTTTCAGTCGGAAATAGATAAATTATTCCATGAGAAAATTTCTGATTCTAAAAGTCCCCAGGCTATAACTGACAGTGACTTTATGCCATTGAGGAACATCCCTATAGCTTAACCTTTCTGTGTTTCTACAAGTATGGCAGAATTATAATGAAGCAGGCAGTTTTATGTTTGAACTGGTAGGTGTTAAAACTGCATCTATTGGGCAGTTTTAGAAATGGATCAAGTTCACCAATAATTATGAACTATGGAGGACATGACAATATTTTAGAGTTTTTGCTTGGTAATGGCAAAGTTTGGTACAGGATTTACACTGTGTCCAATGCTCTTACAAGTTTCACTGTTTGTTGTAATGTAAGAGAATGAATGAAAGGAGCTCCCACTGACTTATCTTTATCTTTTTATCAACGTTACAATGATAACACAATGCAATCTTACAGTGTTACAATGAAAATAACATTAAGGGAATTATATTATGAGCAATTATATATAATTATTATATTTTTATATATATATAGTTATTTATATTCTGAGTATGGTTTCTTGCCATAGGTTTGCATTTCTACAAACATATTTGAGAGTAAGTACAAAATTAAGTCAAATAAGTACATTGTAATATTATTATTGAATATGTTAGCATCTGAATTTTAAGAAGATCTGAGAGGTGTTGGTACCTGGGTCACTAAATTCACTTAGCTGTTCAAGTAATGGAAGTCATTCCTTATGTGTTTTTTTTTTTTTTTTTTTAATTACCACTAAAATGGTCTACAGCAATTTTTTTCTGAGATCTTCAATGACCTGACATGGTTTTCTGCTCACTTAGTGTAAGACCATAGTGATCTGAGACAATCTTTTCCAGCTAATTTCTTTGGTTTTGAGGTTAAAATACTTTCTCTACTTTTTTGATTGCTTTAGGCCTACCATATGTTCTGAACAGGCTGTGGGAATCCGTGTTATTTTCATCCTTTGACCTGGATGCTTTTATTTATAGACATTAGTGCATTTCCATTAATTTATTGCAAACTGTAAACATTTGAAATGCTCATGTCATGCCTCTTGGTTTTAATACATAATTAAAAAAAAAAATCCCTTGGATTTATATCTTTTTGCGATTTGAACCTTTGCGGGTCAAACTTGCATGTTTTCCTTTGCTATTGGCTTGTTATTGTTTTTAACTTAGGCATATTCTTATGCCTCTGGAATAAGAAATCACAGAAAAACAACCACGAAAAATTAGACATATTAAAAATTACTTGAAATTCAGGAAGAGCTATGTGTTTGAATTTCAGTTTCAGTGTAAAACAATTCTTCACACACACAAAAAAAAAATGGAACACTGAGAAATTATTTCTGGAAAATATGAAAATTTACCTTTCCAAAGGATCAGATTTCTCTGTAGGCAAAACATACCATCCCAGGTTCTGCACTATACAAATAGGTGTTCAAGGATAGCAGCTGTTGTGTTGTAGCTGCCAGTGCAAATACATTATGGAGAGGAAGTAAAGGGACATCTTGCCAGCCTTGGTCTTCTGCACAGCTTTGAAAGTTGAATGATCATCTCTCATGTGAATTGCAAACCTCTCTGTCCTTCACTGTAAATGAGAGTAAATTAAATCAGTTTAATCTAAGAAATAAAATCCAGCAATTGTAATATAGCACTAGCAATGAGTAAAAAGCAAATTTTATCAAAGTTTATCATGATAATTTTTATTTTGAAATTGAATACCACTTACAGAATTTGAAATATAATTTATATGTGTAATTAGCAATGTTCAGTGAGCCTAGAAGTGCCTGGAGATTATGTTAAGTATCTCACCACTTGCTGATTATCTCAGCTATATGATATTATTTCCCCCTTTATACTTCCCTGCAATCCTTGCTCTCTATTTTCTGCAATCAGCTACCTCTCTTTATTCCTCTGACTCTCAGCAGGTCTTCTCTGTCTTCAATATCTGTGAGATCTTAATCCTTATCATGCTGCACCAAAGTATCCTGTTACCTCTCTAAGATTTCCTGCATAAAACTTCTGGAGGCTTATCTGGTGCTTTTTTGATGTTTATTTGGAACTTATGGAATGGCGATGTTTCCCAAAGAAAATCTTCAAGGAAAAATAATAATGTAAAATACCCCACAAGTATTCTGCCCCAACTTTATTAGAATCTGGGGTTAAGTTTTTAAGTTTAACTGTGCTTTTCAGTATCAAACAACAATTCTCCCATCCTTGAAAATGTTCAAGGCCGGGCTGGATGGGACTGTGAGCAACCTGCTCTAGTGGAATGTGTCCCTGCCAATGACATGGGGGTTGGAAAGAGATGATCTTTAAGGTCTCTTCCAATCCAAACAGTTTTATGTTTTTATGAACTGGCAGAGAAGGGTTTATTATTTTGAAGCAGCTTTTCTTAATCAGCTTGAAAGCTATCAAGAACACTTCATTTAGAGCCACAAACACAAATCATCCTATTCACAGTAACACCATGTATCTTTATATCTAGAAGTCTATATCTTTAGAAACTGAAAAGGAAAGGTACAGATAGGTTTCCGTATAAGCAGATAAATAAGAGAAAATCAGTGGAGTGATTAGGAAAGAAACTCCACAGTTTTCCATGAGGCCAAAATAAAAGTAAGTATAACATAGAACAAGTATTCTATACATTCATGATTTTTTTTTTAATTCTAAAAAATTGTTTGTCTCATTCACAATATGTAAGCATCAGTTGCCCAAGAAATCTGACCTGATTTGTAGGTAAAATTCTTACTTTGAAGATGGGTAAATCCGATTAAAAAAAAATCAGTTGTTCCATCTTATTTACCATGGTGGAACCTTTCATTTAACCCTTGGAGTGTTTCTTTGTTTGCTTTCTGAAATTATGGCACTTGTGAGAAAATGTGAAAGACACGTATTAACACTAAAGGCTATTACCTCACATTATCTCACAAGTGCCATAAATTAAGAAAGTCAACAAAGATGTTCTTTAAAGCATCTCACAGCTCTGGTTAATGTGAAGTCAAACAGTTACACTTGATCAAAGAATGCACAATTTCTTGTTACTGTGTGCTAACTTTTTCATATATTTGAACTTGAGGTTTCCCTAAGTATTTTAGACCTGCAGTGGCAAAAGGAACAGAATTTCTCCAAACTTCAGCAGTAGTGAAATTTAAGACCACATCATGCTTTAGTATTGAAAATAGTGAGATACAGGTCTATTCATCTAGCTGGCAAAAAAAAAAAAAAAAAAAAGGAAGAGCTTTTACTATTTATTTACTTTTCTATGTAGTGGTCTTCTTCCTGGTCTATATAATAGTATTTTTGGACTGTGGGCTTTTTCAAGATCATGTTACTCGGTAAAATGAATGTTCCTAACACATGATTTCATCACTGCAGGAAGTCTTACACAGCATGTTGTAGTGTTTCAGCACTTGATATACTCTCACCTTAGCTATCAGTGTTATTTTGGGGTTATGTTACAGTAGCATCCCTATATTCTAGGTGGGATTGTTGTTCTTTTATGCGGGTGGTTGCATAAATGTATGAGGTGTTTCACTTTCACTTCAAATGGAAGAGGACGCTCGAACTGAGCATGTCTTCCAGACTGTCCTATAAAGCTCTCCTTTTTTCCTTGGTTCAGTTGGGCTTTTTGTGTGTGTGTGTTGGGGGGGTTGTTGTTTTTTTTTTAAACCAATCTGATTTTCTTTTCAACGGGAATTAATTTAAAGACCTATTTCATATCTGACACTGAACAGCTGTCAGGTGATGCAGAAATTCCATAGTGATCTGTTGTGAATTCACTGCAATAGAGGCCGTGACTGTCTACTATTACAGCTTTCATGAATAATTGATTACTCTAAGGAAAAGCTCTGATTCTTTATTTATCAAATAACCCTTTGCTAACAGACTAGAATACAGTGAATCATGGAGACATGAGCATGGAAAAGGATGGGGTTTTTTTCAGGACACATACAGATTATGCTGCGTGAATACTGGTTATCAGAATTAGGTAAAATCTGTGAATTTTTAACTATTTAAAGAAAAAAACTATCAGTGGCTTAACAAAGTTGTTATGCAGCTATTACAAGATTTTTAAAGTAGCTTTCAAATGCTTCTTGTGAAGAAGAAATATGAATAATTTTGATCAATGCATTTGGGGAAGTTGACTTCAATCATCCACGTAAAACAGTCTCTTGAGTAGTTTTTGTAAAATTCTCTGCCAAAATGGTACACTTTTTCATAAGGACCCTTACTTGCAGACACTATCAGATCAGTGTTTTGGTAGAAATTAGCTCAGAAAAACCTTTTTCATAAAAGTCCAAATTCATCCTTAAATTAGATTTTATTTACAATAGTTTCCTCTAAATGATAGTGAAAATAATCTTTGGAGGATTTGGATTTTTTCATAAGTTGTGTAGATGTTGTTTCATGGAAGAGATTAATTTATTGGTTCATGGGAAATTATTATTATTTTCATAATACTGAGCTATTGCGTGCTATTCTGGAATTATTTGAATATTATATTCCTTCACATTTCCATTAATCCTTTTGATAGTAATTTTATTTAAAATGTTCTTGTTTCATTTATTAAGCTAGATTTTCTATGATATAAAAATCTTAAATTGGTGTTTTGATAGGTAAACTTTTTCAGTGTTTACAGCTTTTACCTTTCTTCAGTAAAGGGAGATTGGTACATATAAAATTGAAACAAGGATATCTATTTCAAGACAGCTAATGACACTTTTCTTTGTTCCTTTTTGCACTACCTCTTTGTAAAACTGTATGAAGAAGAAATATTCATTTTCAAAGAAAAATAATAGTTTTTCTGTAGTGTGAGGCATGGTATGGCATGATGCAAAATCTGTTTTGAAATTATAGATAATATAGCACACAGTGGAACAGCAAAAGCTTTCATTTTTCTTCTTTTCTCTTTACAGATGGACCCAATTCAAAAAGCTGTAATAAATCATACATTTGGAGTTCCTCTTCCTCATCGAAGAAAGCAAATCATATCATGCAACATTTGCCAGCTGAGATTTAATTCTGATGTAAGTCGATCGTTTTGTATCAGATTAGAAATATGTACTTATCTTCTAGTATGTGCCATAATTTTCATAAATTGAACCTAAATGAAACGTTGTGAATTCAGTTTGTCGCTCAGCAGATGAAAAGGTTGTAGGATGTTTCAAATAAACACAATTGCTTGGCAGTTTTTATACACCCAGCCAGATTTTCTCTGCCAATATAGCCCTGCAAGCTCATCAACTTCAGTTGTGCTGCACAGAGCGTAAACAGAAAAAATTGACTGATCCATTACTGCTAATAAGGTTGATATATTTGCTGGATCCTAATTCTTCTACCAGTACCTATGTACCTTCAATTGGCTCCTTCTTTACCTCCTCTCACTCCTGCAGCAGTGAAACAGAGCAAGCTGAACTGGAAATGGTCCCTAATACAAAGAGGAAACCTGTCTCCAATAATTACCCAAGGAAGCTGTGCTGTGATGTTCCTTAACATCACAAGTAACACCTGTTATGACAGAGAAAAGCCTGAGATTTTAACTCTTCTATTTCCTTCTCAGGGTCATTGTGTGTGCAGGCAAAACCTGACATAGTACAATATATTTCCTTCTGCTATTCTAGTCTCTTCAGGAAGTTTCTTGACAGGGACATGGCTAGTGGAAATTAATCTTCCCCACTCACTACTTGTTTTACTAATTTAAATATGGAAGTTACTTCTGTCAGAATAAAAATGTTTGAATTTAGAGTAAGGTCAAACCCAAAAGTGTCCACTAGGGTCCTTCGTCATGCCAGTCATAGGAAGAAGTGAAATAATTCTTGTGTGCTCCTGCTTCTTTGTAGGCAGATATTTATGTACAGTTTGTACTATTTTTAGTTTATTGGTTATTTATTAAAGCCAGATCTTGTCAAAAACTTGAACTTTGAAGCCTAATTCTAAGGATTGCCCTCCTAAGGGAGAAAATAATACAGCTCTTTTCATCCCACTCAGCTTTTTATTCCTCAGAAATAATTTAAATAAGATCTCAGTCACAATTTCCAGACCAGTCAGCATCACATATTTAATTTTACTGACAACTCCAGGTTTTCTAATTCACCTACTGAATGGACACCTTCCTCTTATAACATTGACATAATTTTCAAAGAGTGGTGCAAGGAAGGATAATACCCTCTCTGGAGTTGTCATGTCCCTCACAGATAGAAATAAAGGAGTCAAATTAGGCTCTTCCATTTAGAAGCCAGATGCCAGAATAAGGACTGTGGATACTGAGTCATTCATGAGGAGGGGATGATGGAGGCTTCTGGGCTGCAGTGGATCTCACCGACTGAGCAGCCCAACTTATCACAGTTTTCAGCTTTGTCTTAGGAAAAAGCATGTCACACTGAATCATACAGAGTATATAGCTACAAGAGATATCAAACGCTTTAGTGTAACATACCAGAGTGAAACATCTCCTTTCCAAGAGGGTATACCATTTGTTAGTCTGCAAAAACATCCAGACAAAAGAAAGGATGAACACATCATTAAAATGACTTAGTCATTAGCAGTTACACAACTCGGATTGATATATGGAGTGGAAAATTTTCCAGCTGACAGGCGTTAGACCTTTTCCAGAATAAAATGTCTGAAATAAAAATGCTTCTACAGAGAAACAAACAAGATATCAGTGCATACTGATACTTTTTACTCAGAGGACTGCTATGGTCCCATACTGTTCCTTTTCTGGCTCTCTTAGAAAGTATTCCAAAAAAGAGAGGGGAAAGAAGCAGTGGCCATTTTCAGAGTCATCCATGGTGTCCAAAAAACTCGTTTCAGAAGAAATTTATTAATTTAAGCTGTTCACAGAAAACTCTTGGAAGACAAGCTGTTAAGCAGATATTTAACTGTCCCTTCACACCTTCAGGTGTTAGAGGCTTGAACTCCAAATAACCTACACTACTCAGTAGAAGGTTGTTTTAATGCCCTCCTCTCAGAGTAGATCAATATTAACTTTATGGAAGGGGGAGACCTTCTTGATGAGTATGTTTCACTTTCCACTTCTAATATTCACCTAATTTTTAAAGCAATTCCAGTGTTGCTGATTGATGGAGAGATTACGATCCGAAAGTTGTCCATTGATTAACCTGGGATGATATCTCCTCCCCTTTTCCCTACCACACAGAAGCGATTTGTGGATGTCTTTATGATGGTCTCTTCTCATTCCAGTGCTTATAGTTATTACTACTGAAAATCACAAAGTGCTCTGCTGAGGTTTTTCAATACATGAGATGTAATCACGGTTCCATTTCAGTTTAAGAATGTTTTTTTGCAAAGTGAGAGGAATAGGCAGAGCTATTTCCTCCATTGCTTAGGTAATTCTGAAATGTCCACCAGTGTATGAAGCAAAAATGTGCTAAACTAAAGATTTAATATTGAGACTCAAAGGAAAGATTGCTTTGAGGAAAAAGAGCTGTTAGCTATCATTTTTTGATTACTATATGAATGGCAAGCACACACATTGTATGTTTTTCTCCTACTATCATAAAAATTTTTTCATTTACTCAATATTCATACCTTTCATTTTCATCATATTTTATTGAATATGATTTAAATCCATAACAACAATAAATACCTTTTCTGTCTAGAAACCTAGGCTTTGTGTCTCTTCTACCAATATGTCTCTATTTTTAGATGCTGGAGATAGGATTTATCAGAAAGTAATGAATAGAAATTCCATTTATCTGCTGCACAGCAATATTATGAAAATGTTTACAATAAAACTGGTCTGTGAGACTTTTCATTTTTGCAGAGAATACAGAATTTTCTCCCTTTTGATATGGATTTCTTTAGGAGCAGCAAAGCTTTTTTTCAGGTTACATGGTATCAAAATTACATTAAAAAAAATGAGAAAAGGCAATACAATAGTCTAAAATCATTTAGCTTCTTTGTAAAAGAGTTTTCTATAAATCTTCATGACAGCTTTGTGTTCAGTGTTTCTTTTTAAAATAAATCTTTTCACAAAAGGGAAGGGAGGAAAGAGCAAATAACCAAAGCCTCTCCATGCTGAGAAAAGACATTAGAACAGCAGAGGTAGGTTCTGTGGAGTCCATTTTTTTTTTCATTCAGGGAAATCTATATACAACATCTACAATCACATTGTGCATCCAGTACAGGGCAAAACATTTACATATGTGCTTGGGTGCAAGTGCCTGTATTGTCATTTAGATGTTGGTAGCTGCTGAAAGATATTGCACCAGGTCAGAAGAACTGTTAAATGCATGCTTCACATTAAATATCTGCTAAAAGTACCCTGTAAAATGAAGTGCAGCTGACTTCAGTAGGATAACTCATGTACCTATAGGTAGCTGTAGAAGTAAATTTTCTGCTAATGGCTTGGGAAAAAGAGAAAAAGAAAGCACTTACTAAATTTTCCTGTCTTGACTATTTCATCTTCTTTTGCCCACATTTCTGATTTCAATATTTGATGAAGTTGTCAAGTTATCGGTATCTATCAACAAGGTCAATTCTTCCAAAGGGGTTATCTATTTTTCTTCCCTCTTGTTAATGCAGATGGCTGAGTGATGATTCAGTTTGCCTTTAAAGAAAGGTTGGACAGAGTTCTGATGTGTTCACAGGATTTGAATTTCATTCTGATACACTGTAAAAATATTTCCAATTATGTTAGCCAGAAATTATTGTTTTACTTAAATAGCAACCACAGTAATATTTCTCTGAAAATCAGGAGCTGAATTCTCATCAGTCCTTATTTGTTGTTTTTTACCTTGTTTTTCTCCATCTCTATAAAAAAAAGTATCACCGAATTGATATATAGTTCAACTCTATGAAGCCATCAGAGTTCAAAAAGTGCTCTTGCAGTTAAACAACAGTGAAGAATTTTTTTGAGGATAAGGATGCAATATAGCTCTGCAGTATTTTACCGTGGTTCTAAATTTTGTGGGGAAAGAAGCAGGACCAAAGGACTTATATCCTATTTAGGCTATGCTTGACATCTAGAACGAATGATTAAAGTATCAATTTGTAAGCACCTAGGGTATAATAAGGCAATAAGAAACAGTCAACATGAATTTGTCAAAAACAAATCATGTCAAACCAATCTAATTTTTTTCCTTTGACAGGGTAATTGGCCTAATGGATAATAGGGAATAAATAGCTGTGATATATTTTGGCTTTAACAAGGGTTTGTAAAGTCCTATGTGACAGTCTTGTAAAGCAAGTAGGGGAATATGGTCCAAGTGAAATTATTAAAAGTTGGTTGCACAACAGATTGAAGAACTGTATTGAAGAACTGTAGTGAAAATAGTTGCTGATGGTTTCCTGTCAAAACAAAAGATCACAACAAGTCAGGATCTGTAAGAGTCTGTTCCATTCTTATTGCTACTCTAAATTTTCATTAGCACTGTGCCTGATAGAATAGAGTATACATATACCAAGTTTTTGGATGACACCTAGATGGAGAGTGGCAGGCTCCTGATGGAAGCTGGTAAGTTCAGGATTGGAGTCCAAAATTATCTTCAGCAGCTGGAGAAAATAATCTGGAATTCTGACAAGTGCAGTAAATAAAAGCACAAACTATTGTGCTTAGACTGGAAAAAGTAAATGCACAAGCAGTAAAATGAGTACATGTCTGGCTTAATGGCAAAAAAGGAATCATAATCCAAATATGCATTAAGAACGGATACTGAGGGGGGGAAGAAAAAAAAAAAGAAAAAGGAAACCACTCAACTAATCCTGTGATAATTTTTCCCCCAAAATGTAACATTTCTCATTAGGTAAGTATTCCACAGCAAATATTCAAGAGCAGCCCTGATCAGAAGGACTGGGTGTGCTTGTGGATGACAGACTGGACATGACCCAACGATATGCACTTGCAGCCCAGAAAGCCAACCCTGTCCTGAGCTTCATCAAAAGCAACATGGCCATCAAATTGAGAGAGATGATTCTTCTCCTCTGCTCTGCTCTTGTGAGACCCTATCTGGGGTACTGTATGCAAATCTGGGGTCCTGAGTACAGGAAAGACATGGATCTGTTG